AGTAGTGGCAGACTGCCTCAGTAGGGGTGGTCGTTCTTCCCTGACTGAGCTGGACTGCCCCGGGTTCAGCTGCACTTGCTGGGAAACTCTTAATCCAGAGTGTTTCAGATTGTTTGTTTTGTGGGGGTGGTACCTGCTGAGCCAGATAGCCTGGGGCCCTGTCTCTGCCCCTTCCCTTTCAGTTGAATGGGTGGCTCTGTCTCCCAGGCTTCCAGGTGCCACTGGAAACATCTGCCCAGATTTTTGTGAGTTTCTGTGTGCCAAGCTGGCACTGGCTGAAATCACTGTGCTGAAAACTCCTGGCACTTTTCAGCCAGGGAATCTCCTAGTCTGTGGGTGTTGAAAATTTGTTTGGAAATGTGGTGGGCACTCACCTTCTGCATTGTTCCTGCTGGGAACTGCATTCCGGAGCTGTTCCTATTTGGCCATCTTGGATCCTCCCCAAAAGTAAAATTTTTAAATGTTAATAACCATTGTGTCAACACATTAAAATATTAGATCAGTAGGAAGTCCATTTATGTCAGAAATGAATTACATTAGGAAATTCATTAACACAATAAATTACATTAATTGCATTAATGAGAATGCCCTGTGTTCATGTTCATAGATGAAAAACAGATAATGCCAAAATTTTAAAGAAAATTACTTTAAATAATTCCATTAGTATGGAATTGGTTGAAAATACTTTTTTAAAACTTAAAATAGATTCATATCCACAAAAAGTTATGACATTATAGGATTAGGCAGGGTCCACACTACTAGGACATCAAAGGTACTTTAACTTATAAGTGGATTTTATGGTTTCATAGTATTCCAAGGTGCATATGTACCTTAGCAAGGACATGGATGCAGATGGAGACCATTATTCTTAGCTAAGAAATGCAGAAACAGAAAACCAAATATGACCCGTTCTTACTTATAAGTGGGAGCTAAATGATGATAACACATGGACACGTAGAGGGACAACACACTGGGGCCTTTCGGGGGGTGGAAGGTGGGAGGAGAGAGTTGATTAGAAAAAATAATTAATGGAAACTAGGCTTAATATCTGGATGATGAAATAATCTGTACAAGCCCTAACCAGCAGGCATTTACCTATATAACAAACCAGCACATCCTGCACATGTACCCTTGAGATTAAAATAAAAATTAAAAATATAAAAAAAACCTTTAAAGTTGATTTTAACTTCAATATAGGTACCATCTGTGTTCTGGATATAGAAACTTTATTGTAAAAGACAGCAAATAAAATATCCATGAAAAGTCTGAAAATTAAAAAAGAGTGATTTCCCCTTTAAAATAGTGTCCAGACTTAGAAATTAAAATTGGGTTGTGTTGTTTCATCATTAAACTGAAAGGCCAATGAAATAAAATGTTCAAAAATGGAATAAAATATATATGAAAATGTACTGTGCAATAAAAGCAGGAGTGTAGAAAGAAGAGGTGAAAGCTTGGTGTGTCTCATTAGGCCCTGAAGCTCACAGACAGGCAGCAGTCTGTCTCTTGCCGCATGTGCTTTCTGCAAGTTTGGTATTGCCACATTTACAGGAAGCACATTTAACATTTGAGCAATAGCATTTTGGGCTAATGTTTGATTCATGTGATTTTTTCTGCCTCAATATTCATTGTAAGCTGTTCTCATAGCCCACGGTGCATTTCCTGCTGAGCTGAGATGTTACTGCCATTAATAAAGGTCTATTACCTGCAATCGTCCTGGTTTCTCTGGGAGCCCTGAGAACAGTCACATGTGATTGTGATAATTCTTTAGTTGGTCACTTGCCTGGTGGAAGTGACCAACTAATGAATTATCTGGGGGGCTTCTCTCCACACTGGGCCCACAGGGAATAAAAGCTTGTGAAGAGTTCTGGGACAGAACCCTGCATGGGGACACTGACATGGGTCACTTTAAGGTACCGTGCTCTTAATCTATACCCCAAACTGATGCAGACAGAAAGTACCACATGCCCTCAGAAAAACAAACAAACAAAATATGTTTGGAAAATGAATCATCTTTGGTTGTGAAAAATACTGTCTTCTTCAGAGGATTTGCTAAATTCAAAACTAACAGATGATGTATGCTCGGGATAAAAGTGGTCATTTGTTAACAGATACTGGCGAGGCTGCAGAGAAAAAGAAAATCCTTTTTACTGTCGCTGGGAATGTAAATTAGGTCAGTCACTACGGTTTAGAGATTTCTCCAAAAATGTACAACAGAGCTACTGATTGACCCAGCAATCACATTACTGAGTATATACCCAAAGAAAATATAACATTTGACCAAAAAGACACATGCAAACCTGTACACCCAGCATCTATATCTAAAATAAAAATTGAAATGATTTTTTAAATTGTTTGTGAAAAATTTTCACCCATGGCAGGGATGAAGAAGAACCTTCTCACTAAGGTCAAGAGGTGCACATCCGAATGCAACCCCAGAGGCAGAGCTGGGGAATGAAAATGAGTTAGTTACTTAGACATGGCTGCTGATTCTTGAATTTCATATTTTTCCCAGGGTGTCTTTATCATTATTTTTACCTGCCTGTCTATGTTCAGACACATGCCCTCAAATGTGACTTTGGGTCCAGAATGAGAAATTCATCACTGTCCTTTGGTCAAGGTAGAGGGAGTTATGTAATTCCGAAATCTGTCCATATCTAGTGACAGAAATCAAAAAAGAACTGAACAAATGGAGAAGATACATCATCTTCATAAATTAAAAAACTCAATATTGTCAGGATGTCAGTTCTTCCCAGTGTATAGATTTAATGCAATTCTGATAAAAATTGAAAGAAATGATTTTATGAATATAGAAGAATGAATTCTATAGTTCATATGGAGAAGAAAAAGACCTTGAATAGCTAACATTGTATTGAAGGAGAACAAAATTGGAGGAAATACAGGCACTACTCAACTTCAAGACTTACTGTAAAGCTATGATCATCAAAGTAGTGCCATATTGATGAAAGAGTACATATAACACAATAATGAAATGAAAGTTGAGAAATAGACACACATCTATATATTTAATTAATGTTTGATGAAAAAGTAAAGGAAATATGATGAAACAAAGATAGGGTTCATCAGAAAGTGGTGCTGGAACAACTGAATATCCACGTTAAAAAAAAAAAAGGTGAGTCAGATCTTACCCTCTCACCAAAATTAACTCAAAACGAATCACAGGCCCAAATGTCAAATAGAAAACTATAAAATTTCTGGTAAATAAAAGGAGAAAATTTAGACCCTCTTGGGTTTATCTCTAGAAAAAAAAAACGCCAAAGTTACGGCACATAAAAGAAATAATGTAAGCTATACTTGATTAAAATGTAACATATTGTTTTGTTAAAGCCACTGAAAGTGAAGACAAGCAGCAGACTGAAAGAAAATATTTGCAGAAACATATTTGAATGACAAATTTTATCCAGAATATACCAATAGTCTTAAAACGGAATAATAAGAAACAAACAACCCAATTAAAAAGTGAACTAAAGACTGTAACAGGCATTTCACCAAATAAAATATACAAATAATAAAAAATAAGCATATGTAATGACGCTCCACATAATATATCCTTAGGGAAGCGCAGTAATGAGCTAACACTTCACATCTAGTGGAATGACCAAAAGCAAGAACATGGTCACCTACTTTAATCACATAATTCCTATCACATAATTAGTGAGCACTGTGGGTGCCCACACACCAACTCTGCAAGCTTGGTGTGTAAAGAATTCCACAAAAATAATGGTATAGTGACTAGAAGTATTTATTTATTCATTTATTTATGAGACAGTCTCTGTTGCCCAGGCTTGGAGTGCAGGGGCACAAATAACCAAACAATAACCCAAATTCAGAAGACGGAAAACATCAAATGCTGTCGAGGATGGGGAGCAACAAGGCCTCTCATTCCTTGTTTGTGGCACAATCCCAGATCACTGTATCCACGAACACCCGTCAGGCCCAAGGGATCCTCCCTCAATCAATCTCCGGAGTAGCTGGGGCCACAGGCATGCACCACCATGCCTTTGTTGTCTAAGCTGGTCTCAGGCTCCTAGGATCAAGTGATCCTCCTATCTCGGTCTCCCAAAGTGCTGGAAGTACAGGCATGAGGCACTGCAGCCAGCCTGGAAGTCTTTTAATAGGATCATTTCAATGTAACTGTTTTCTCATCTGCTCTACTCAGCTAACTCTCCCTCTCAGCCCAAGGGAGAGAACTGCAGCTCAGCCCCATCCAGGATGACTGCAGATTACCCAGCGCCACCGCCATTCTCCAGATGCAGGCCAAGGAGGAAGGGATCCTGAGGCCTGGCAGTGGGCACACTAAGCAACCTTGAAACTCTCCAAACGGGACCTGCCATCCGTGCCCCTGTCTGAGCTGTAGCTGCTACCAGCACTTGGCACACAGGCAAATACGGCCGAGGAACCCAAACTCCCCGCTTCCCCTCCGGGCCTAAGTAACGTGGACTGGGGTGAGACGCCGCTGCTGTGCTGAAGTCAGTCGGTCAGCCCTCTGTCTGCACCAGGGCAGGAACCGCCGCTCATCCCCATCCTGGCGGCTGCCCAGTGCCCAGAGCCCAGCTCTCTGGGCTTGAGCCAAGGAAGAGGCTGGCCTGGAGTGGGAGGGCGTGCGCCACAAGGCGACCCAGGGGCTGCAACCCCGACCCTGCCGGCGCCACCAACCTCGCGGATCCTTGGGCCAGAAGCCTCCATGGCGCCTAGGTCAGGGGGTGGGTCGCCAGCTGCAGGAGGGCGGGAACCGACGCTCAGCGCCACCCCGGAGGCTGCAGGGTGCCCAGCGCCAGGGCCCAGCTCCTGGATCGCGGGTCGAGGAGGGGCCAGGGGCGGCTCTGTCAAGCGGGCTGTGTGGCAGGGCGTCCCCCATGTTCCGCTCCAAGGAGCCTCGCCAGCACGGCAGCGCCTCAGCGGCAGGTGCCACCTGCACGTGGTGCCCTTTGGAGCCGGGACAGTGAGGTTTTCCGCCTCGGCAATCTCCTCAGCTGGCTGAGCTGCGCATGCGCCGCTGCCTAACAACTCTGCTCCAGGAATTTCTCCTGGGAGAGGCCAGAGTGTCCCAGGGCTTGGCCAGACCCACAGCCCTACCGGTGTGGGGCCGGGTGCGGGGACTGAAGAAGGGCAAGGGCGAGCGGCTGGGGCGAGGGCGAGCGGGAGGCCAGCAGGTGGCCGCAGCCATGGAGAGGCTCTCAGCAGCCGCTTTCTAGGGCCTGTAGGACTCGCGCCGCCAAAGTCCCTTCAGTCAGCTGGTCTACACCAGCAACGACTCTTATGAGATCCACCACCACAGGGATCTCAGGAATATCCACGAAGCTGCCTGGCAGGGCCAAGACCGGAAGCTGCAGAAGATGATGAAGAAGAGGAAGACAATGGACCTGAACACAAGAGACGCGAACAATAGGTACCAGGCCCTGCCTGAGCCCGGGCTGCAGGAGGAGGTGGCGGCTGTGGGAGGATCGCCCCTTCAGAGTGCTGGGCTGGGGGACCTGGGGACGAGGGGAGCAGCTGGAGGAGTGGGGGACAGCGGTCCTGGGCCCTGGGGTCTGGGCCTTCGTTCCGGGCAGGGGTCCCCCAGGTCGGGGATGAGGGCGCCCTGCAGGGCGGAGGGCCCAGGCCACCTTAAAATCAGCCCCAAACTTTAGCTGCTTTCCCTTCACTCCCACTTCCCATCACAGAGCAATGTCTAGAGAATTTTAAAGTGCTTTAACTCTCAAAATTAAGTACACACAGTGTTTTACTTTTAACGGACAGATTTTAAAAGACAATGTTAGCTACTTTATGGGATAGTGCAAAATGAAATAATTCCCATAATATATGAACTTCTTGGCAAAAAGTTCTTTGGATAAAGTCCAATATCCTTTATGATATCAATAAATGTCTATGTAAAGATGTTCTTTGCTGAGGGACCTTAGAAGGAAATTTTGAGGTGGAAAGATGACTTCTGTTTTTCTCAAGGTGTGAGTTTTTCATCACTTTTACACAAACCAAATAAAGTTATCAATGTTTTGACATATTTTAAATTGCACGTGCTGTCTTTTACGATTGTGATGACATTTTAAAAACTTGTAATGGAGTGGAAAATCTTGCCCCTCTAGAAATGAAAATGTGCTATTAATGTGCACAAAAGGGGCTGGGCGTGGTGGCTCATGCCTGTAATCCCAGCACTTTCGGTTGCTGAGGTGGGTGTATTACCTGAGGCCTGAAGATCAAGACCAGCCTGGCCCATATGGTGAAATCCTGCCTCTACAAAACTATAAAAATTAGACGGGCATAATGTCAGGTGCCTGTAACCCCAGCCACTTGGGAGGCTGAGGCAGGAGAATTGTTTGAACTTCGAAAGTGGAGAGGAGGATGTTGCGGTGAACTAAGATCCCGCCACAGCACTCCAGCCTGGGTGACAGATTGAAACTCTCTCTCAACAACAACAAATCACAAATTGTTTGCTAACAGCTCAAAACACAGGTACATGAATCCAACAGAACACAAAATCCATAAACACCTATATATATGAAATGATGGCCCTTTGGAGAAAACTAGATGTTTATGCCACAAAATAAGTTCGTGATGGAATATATATTAAAAGGTATTAATATACAAACTGAGAGAAGTACCAGAAGAAAACATAAATGCCTATTTACACAGGTACCTTTTTATGTTGACAACTAAGAAGCTGAGAAGCAAGTACTCTGAAGGTTAATTTAGCAAAACAAAAATTAAATCACCCTGCATATGAGAAAAAATAAAAGGCAGCATACATGTAAAATATTTACTACACATGTATGTGCATATGTGAATACATATTAGATTTAAAATTCTTACTTTTATAGAAAATTCACTCAACAAAAAACCCTCTGATTTAAAATTGGGTAATTAAATTAGAGATCTAAATTGTATATCTAAAAAAGTACTTTGCTTCTAATTTAAAATTAGGCAAATTACTTAAGATCTGCAGGTGACCTATGCACACAGGGGATAGTATTGTTTTCATGGTTAGAGAAGGCATTCAAGTTAAAAGAGGAATCAATACTGTTTCTATCCATAAAGTTTGTGACAATAAAGAGCAGTGATATTTATACTGCCGCTTAAAGTTTAAGTTGCAGATGACGTTTCAAATACATAATTTGGTGGTAAGTACCATATTTAAAAATTATATATGCCCATTAGTGATCAATACTATTATACTGAAATATTTTTAGAAAATAATGAAACATACACACAATTTCTTTTCTGAGCATGGCTTAAAATATCAATGTGTTAAGAAGAATTCATAGATTGGCTCTTATAAATACATTTCAGTGAATTTATAGCCTGGGTTATGTGAACACTGAAGGCAGAAAAACATACACAAATATGTTGATATTTGAAAATGATTTTGGTGTTCAAATGAGAGTAAAGTTCAGTTTGATTATACATACACACAGACTATGTATATTGTATGGATGTATATTGTGTTATCTGAAATTATGTACAAAATATGATAAAATGTGTTATTGAGGCATTTTTTTAATATAAAATGTTATTTCTTTGTATTATCTTTGATTTCTGCATTGAGAAAACGATCATAATTGTAGCATTTTACTTAAAATGTTGTCTTTGTTAAGTAGTAGTAATAATTATAATATCTGACTATTACTGAGCTGTTACATGTGCTAGGAACTCTTTGAAATATTTCGCATAGATTCTCATTGAGGCATCAGAGTGATGTCCTGTGAGATAACTGCTGTATTCTTTCTCACTTTGTCGGTGAGAAGATTGAGGCACAGAAAGGTTAAGTCATAGCTAGTAAGTGAAAGACCTTAAAGTAATATTCAGGCCCAAGTTGAACTGAATCCAAAGACCAAGTTCCTTCTATTCAAATAGGGCACTTTTGGATTAAGGTATTGAGTTATAAGATCGAATGAACGTACTTTCTGCAGCAGAATATTAAATATTTGTTTTGAAGGCAGAGAAAGAGCATGGTATTTAATGTTTACAGTTACATAAATCATTGTTATGTTTTGAGGCAGTGGACTAAATTTTCCTAAAAGGTCCTCTTGCTCTCATAGGACTGTGCTACACTTGGCCTGTGCCTACGGCCATGAGAATGTAGTAACTTTACTGGTAGACAGGAACTGCTTGCTTGACATCTGTGATGGCGAAAACAGGACACCTCTGACGGAGGTAAATAGTAGCCAGTGCTTTCAGCAGGAGATGGATTTGGTTTAAATACACAGAATGAAAATGAACTTAACTCATTGAAATACAGCTAGTTTGTGAAACCAGAGAAATATTTATTTTTATTTCCTATAATTTAAAATTTACTTCTTGCTTTAATACTGACAGGCTCTACAATGTCAGAGGGAGGCTTGTGCAAATATTCTGATAGATTCTGGTGCTGATCCAACTATCGTAGATGTGTATGGCAACATGGCTCTCCAATATGCAGTTTACAGTGAGAGTTTGTCAATGGTGGCAAAACTGCTGTCCTGTGGTGCAGATATTGAAGTGAAAAACAAGGTAGACATTAACCAATGTTATTTTCAAAATATTTGAAATCAATGTGTTTCAACATTAATATATGTAAGTGTTTTTATATTTAAAAGTTGAAACTGAATGAAAATAGTTTGAAAGAATTGTCTATGTGTTCTTTGAGTTCACATCATGAATGTGGTGACTTAAAAATAAATAAATAAATAAGAATTGTCTAAGATTTGACTTTAAATATTAATATTTTTACAAGAACTATTAGAGAGTATGGATTTTCTGTGTACTTATGATAAACGTTTGAATTCGTTAAAGGTAAAACTTTTTAGAATATTCTTCCCCATCCAAGTTGTTTTTTTCTTTTCAATTAGTGTAAAACTACAGGAAAGCAAAATTTGCCTGGATAAATTGAGTCAACATGTAAAATTTAGGACACATGCAGAAATCTGGACTTCCTCTTAAAGGTTTGAATCTGGTGTCTCTTGAGACCATATGACTGTTTGGTATGCTATGAAGAGGTTCTAGCTTTACACAAAGCATATGTTTTCCAGTTTGCTACTGTGCCCACCTAGGTACATCACGTACTCAAGTTATCTCTTCTGCCTCTGTCAATATTTCAGTTATCAATTCCTCTCTCATAATCTGTACATCACGTACTCAAGTTATCTCTTCTGCCTCTGTCAATATTTCAGTTATCAATTCCTCTCTCATAATCTATTTTGTTAAAGATTTCAAGGTATTCAAGACAGTTGATAGGTGTTTGTAATATATAGTTTATATTCTACATTAATTCATTAATAATGCTGCTGACTTCTAGAATTTAATTTCTAAACAAAGATTTTTCTTTATATAAAAACCATAAACAATCTTTAACTTGAATGCCTTTAAGCCTTTTTAGATCAATCATGGTTATATTTGTATAGGTTATGCATTTTGCAGAAAATATTATATCTTTCTTCTCAAAATTGTCCCTTTAAATTCAAGTGATTCAGCGGCTTCTATTATGCTAATTTATATGGACGAGTTAGAACTTTCATTAATGAGTCATTTTATTCATATTTCTGATATTTTGCCAAAATAAGTAGCAATTACAATACAAACTAGAATAAAAATGGATTATTGCATTTAAGAAGTAGATATGCGTTAGGATCCTAGGATTATCATTAGAATTGAGAATAAACTATTATACTGAATTTCTAATAGCTGAGATAAAATTCTCTTGTCTTGTAATATGAGAAATTTCATGAACCATTTAATAATAAGCAATCAAAATTCATTTGAAGCTAATCTCTTTTAATTAGAGCCCACTTCCTTAGTGACTCATATAGAGCAGGAGTGCCTGACATTGGCATCTGGGATCTTGGGATCATTGATAAAAGAGAATCAAGTGAGTTTGTATCACCCAGAGGAGACCTCCGTTTCTCTTGGGAAGCTTTCAAAACTGGATTCTTGAAATTCTAATTTGTCAAATGTTAATGTTTGCCAAAAATATATATATTGTGAAGTAAGGGTTAGGCAAAGTTCAAGTCACTTCTTGAATAGTGGACATTTAATTCACAGTTTTATAATATTTCTTGAACATAGGTAACAGTGAAATCTGTTAAGGTACAGTGCTTCTGGTAAGGCAATTATTCCTTGGAATACTGTTTAAGAAACACTGCTCTACAAGTGATAATCTAGATTACTAATTTAATTAAAAATAAGCAAAGTCTTTACTACTATGTCTTAGTGTTTAAGGCTATAGAGATAAAAGATACAGCCCCACACCCTCAAAGAACTCTTGGTTTAAATGGGAAACAAATCATTACAATATAATGATTTTTTGAGATATTCAGAATTAATGTGGTGATGCAGAGGTTGAATGTTTCTGAGGGAAGGTGCAGTGGATGGGAAAGCACAGAAAAGGGAGGAAAGGACTGCTATTGATTTACTTCCTATTTTATGTGTTTAAGTTCATAGGATATTATATAAGGTATTCAGTTCAGCTGAGAAATGTGTAATTTTATGAATTATAAATTGTTTTTACTGTTGTATAGGCTGGACTCACACCACTTTTACTGGCCATAACAAAAAGAAGTGAGCAAATTGTGGAATTTTTACTGACAAAAAATGCAAATGCAAATGCAGTTAATAAGTTTACATGGTATAGTAGTTATTTTCTTGTAATTAAAAACACTTGAGTAGTGTTCTAGAATACTCTCAAGTCAGAAATATTAAATTGATAACATTTATTTAAAATTATTAGTTTATAGTGAAAAATATCAACACAAAGTATCAGGAAGAAAAGTAATTATTTGGACTGACCAAAATAAAGAACAGCATATAGTAGTATTTATCTTCTCTTATTATTTTGGCTGATTCTTATTTGTAATCTGATGTTTTTGGTTGCATTATCTTCTATTAGCTAAAGTGGTTTGGTATTAGTTTTAAAAAGTATGAACTTTTCTGGTTTTTAATTTAATATTGAATGATTAACACTTTCATAATATTTTTCTAACTTCTGTTTTTATACACTTTTTTAAAAAATGCAATATTTGTTGGGCATGGTAGCTCTCACCTGTTATCCCAGTAGTTTGGGAGGCCAAGGTGAGTGGATTATCTGAGGCCAGGAGTTTGAGACCAGCCTAGCCAACACGGTGAAATCCCATTTCTACTAAAAGTACAAAAGTCAGCTGGACATGGTGGCACATACTTGTAGTCCCAGCTACTTGGGAGGTTGAGGCAGGAGAATCACTTGAACCCAGGAGGCAGAGGTTGCAGTGAGCTGAGATTCTACCATTGCACTCCAGATTGGGTAACAGAGCAAGACTCTGTCTCAAAAAAAAAAAGCAACGTCAATCAAAAATAGGAGTTTAAAATCATTTTGTCTTTAGGATAACTGTTTGCTTTAAGTTGTTTTCTTTGAAGAATGTTAATGTTAGGTTATTCCTACATGGCTATTAAATGGTATCACCAGATACTGTGAATTTATGATTTTTTTCCTTTTTTATTCAGAGTGTATTTTTATTTTTAATTTATATGGGTACAGGGAATAAAAACATTTTTAATTGGATTAACATTTTAGTTAATGAAGATAAGCTGTAGGTGAATGATGAAGACAGAAGGGATAGACTTTTGATTCACACAAGACTAGGTTTAATTTCCTCACTTGATAGGTGTGACCTTGCAAACATTACTTAATACCAAGTATGATTTTCTATAGGAAAAGGAGAATAACAATGTGCCCTTTAAGGACCATCATGTAGAAATAACATTATGAATATCAACATCATTTAACTCAGTGTCTTGTACATTCTTATCAGCATCATTAACTCAACTTATTATGACTACTACTGATATAATTATCCCTAATATTGTTTTAAGCCTTCGGATTGCTCTCAGTTGTCTGACTTTTGGCTGATTTTGAAGTATAAAATATTATATCAGACTAAGGAAGAAATAAATAATTTTCCCTTAAATCTGTGCCTCTTTTAGATTACTGAACAGAGCATTTTTTGGCCTCTCATAGGACTTTATGTTAGCCACTTCTAGTATGACATATCCCAGTGGGACATGAATCTTTTTGCCCCTTCCTTTTAGCCTTGGTGGTGATTTACAAGAGTAACCACTTGAGCACTCAAGATACTTATGTTTGTTAGTATTATATAAATGGTTACTTCTACACTGACAGGCAAATATTAAAACGGTTTTGTTCCTAATAATGAAGTTATCTCTGTTATTTTAGCACAGCCCTCATGCTTGCAGTATGTCATGGCTCATCAGAGATAGTCAGCATGCTTCTTCAGCAAAATGTTGACATGTATGCTGAAGATACGTGTGGAATGACTGCAGAACGTTACGCTGTTACTTGTGCATTCGATAAGTAAGTGTTTACATTTAAAGGCTCGGTGAAATTTTATAGTTTGTTTGAGGTAATTTTTGAAAGACAGTGAGTCAGTTCATTCATAAAGAAAGTAGGCAAAAAGCTAAACTAGTTAGAAGGATTAATGGGTCCAGGATTCTTTCTTTTAGGATTTTCAACAGCTTTATCCCTAGGGATCCTATTGCCATCTACTTGATTTGAAGTATAATCCCTGTGTGGGGGATAAACATAGTGTCACAATTTTTATTTTTCTAATTAATTATTTGGGTCTTGAAATGTCCACTTTAGCAGAAAACCTGAGAGTATGGCCTGGGGGCTGTCTTGCATACCTTCACTTTTGAATTTTTGAGAAGAATTTAAGGGGTTCTCTAAGTCCAAGGAAGACATTCCTTTTGTACAAGTCAGAAGGACTGGAGGAAACGGCCATTCTCTTCATTTTGTTGTTTCCATTGATCATGTTGCCGCATTGTTGCCATTATTGCCATTACCTGCAGTCTGGTAATGATTGATCTTGGTGACCAGGATGCCCTTACTAATGATCCCTCAGTCTTCCTGGTGATCCATATGTGGACTTCAAAGTTATTACAGTCTTTAAAAGTTTATTACATACATTTTCGCAGCCATTGTTTCCAAAGCACCAGCACCCGGCTTTGGCAGCTAGGACGTTTAGCTTTAGCCACACACATAGTGAGCAAATTGACCCTTCTCCTCACACTCACAGCTGATGTGAAACCCACATCTTAGTCTTGACTTGGCTTAGACCTTCATGGTAAGTAATGCTTTCAGTGGCTTTTCCTCTATTTTCTTAACAAATATTAGTTGTGATAGTTTGAAACTGTAAGACAAGTTGAAATAATGCTATAGGAAGAAATTAGAGATCTATTTATTCTTTGTTACCAGGTTTATATCCCTGGCCCTTTAGATCCTGTGTAGCAGCATTTTGTAGATAGTGGAAGGTCTCATTCTGGAAGATCCCATGTCACCTTTCCCAAACTGTAGTGTGTTCCAACTTGTGGTTGTCCCCTCAAGTAAAAATCTCCCATGCTACTTGTATCTCTACCTCAAGTTTTTTTTTTTTAAATTGCATTTTAGGTTTTGGGGTACATGTGCAGAACATGCAAGATAGTTGCATAGGTACACACATGGCAGTGTGTTTTGCTGCCTTCCTCCCCTTCACCCACATTTGGCATTTCTCCCCATCTATCCCTCCCCAGCTCCCCCACCCCACTGTCCCTCTCCTATTCCCCCCAATAGACCCCAGTGTGTAGTACTCCCTTCCCTGTGTCCATGTGTTCTCATTTCTCATACCTGCCTATGAATGAGAATATGCGGTATTTCATTTTCTGTTCTTGTGTCAGTTTGCTGAGAATGATGTTCTCCAGATTCATCCATGTTCCTACAAAGGACACGAACTCATCATTTTTGGTTGCTGCATAATATTCTATGGTGTATATATGCCACATTTTCCTAGTCCAGTCTATCATCGATGGGCATTTGAGTTGGTTCCAGGTCTTTGCTATTGTAAATAGTGCTGCAATGAACATTCGTGTGCATGTGTCCTTATAGTCTACCTCAAGTTTTTAAAATATTTTTAAAATTCTGCATCACCATGAAGCTATTCAATAGATTTCACTAAATCTCAAGTAACTTGGTTAGATTTAACAGAGCTGAACCTCATCCATGACTGATCAGTCTTCATATATAAAAGTAGAGATTTGTGCTGGCTTCAATAGTACACAAACCAAAACTGAAACAACATCAAGAAGATCAGCATGATCCCTGCACAAGGATGACACACAAATCTGTGCAGTGTTGTGTATTTCTTGCAGTCCTCAAAGGACATTTGACTACTTTCTAACTAGCTCCAAGAAAATGGTGTGAGTCAAAGCAAAATGGGTAACACCCAGTACTGCAGTGGTGATTTTCATGCAAAAAGTATTTATGTAAGGCGATCTATGAAATGAGATGGTGGTGAGTAACACATAGGATCTTGTGTGCAATATGTTGTTAGTAAGCGTCTTGGAAATGAGAAAATACCAACTTGCATCTTCTTTGCAGAACTTACAAAACATAAAGGTACAGTTTTGTCTTCCATGGCAGCTGGAAATGAACACGTGACTAACAAAGATTTGTTGTTTTAGAGTTTAAGGAGGTAGATAAATGGTAATAGTAGTCCAAGCCAGATACTGACTATTAATTTTCTCCCCTTAGTGTGATTGATGAGCTTAGTAATAGAGGATAATCAGTTTATCCAGTTTAATGAATTAATATGTTTATAAATAAATTTCCTTACAAATTTTAAAATAGCTAAGATGCCCTGAATTATAAGCCACAAAGAATTGAACATCTAATAACCAAAAGTAGGAATTAATAAGAGAAAACTGCAACATTTGAACATTGTAACCTATGAAGAAACATGTTTTTTTATCATTTATTTATTTTTTATAGAGATAGGGTCTCCCTATTTTGCCCAGGCTTGTCTTGAACTTCTGGGCTCAAGCAATCTTCCTCTTACAGTATCCCAAAGTGCTTGCATCACAGACATGAGCCATTGCACCAGACCAATACATTGGGTTTTATTGAGAATTTAAAAATAATTATAGCAATATGGTTCAAGAACAAATTATTTCATTGCTTCACCATTTCTTTGAGCATTTAAAACTGTTATCTTCTTAAATCTTTATAATAACCTAGTGAAATAAAGCTCTAAAATCCTCATTTTTAGACCACCTTGAGCTTAACAGAAGCAACTTATTAAAAAAGAAATACCTGTTTGTTACTATGCTAGGACTTATTCTGAGTTAAGGGCATTTTTATTATGCCAAGGTAACTCTAGTTAATTTACTGGTTATACTGCCCTCAGTTCATGAGTATTTCATCTTACTTTCTTCTTTAAGCTTTCTTCTCTATGAAGCTTAATAAGTACATAGAGCTTACGAACTCTAGGTCTATGGAATAAATGATATTCTGATGTTAGCTCTGATATTGTCTGAAATATTATAAGAACTTAATAAATTTGGTAAATATTTTTATATTGCTGTTAAAATAATAGTTTTATTCATTTTTATACATAGCATTCATCAACAACTTTTGGAATATAAGCAAAAGATATCTAAAAATCCTCAAAATAGCAATCCAGGTAAGACTTCTGATAGTAAAGTGCTCTTGGTGGTGCTATGATAAGATTATGGAAGTGTTGATCACAAAAGAGAAACTTAAAAAGCAATGTGTAAATAGCATGTGTTTACACATGTGTGTGTATGTGTATATATATAGCTTTGATTTAATTTTTTAGTTTATAATTCATAATTAGTTAAGAATATAGTTGTAGATAGTTTGTAATCTCAAAAAATATTATCTGAAAAAATATTTAATTATGATCCCTAAAATCATATATAATATTTTTTCATAAATAAGTAAAACAATTTTTAGTTTTGTATATTGAATCTCTCCTCAATTGTCAAAACAACTTAAGTCTGTTATAAAATGTATAAAACTTGGTGTGATTGATGAGCTGAAGAATAGGGGATAATCTGGTTATCCAATTTAATGAATTAATAAATTTATAAATAAGTTTTATTACAAATTAGAAAGTAGTTTTCATGCCCTGAATTATAAGCCACAAAGAATTGAACATCTACTAATGAAAAGTAGGAATTAATAACAGAAAACTGTAACTTTTGAATATTATAACCTATGAAGAAACACAGAGTGTTATTTATTTATTTACTGCAGAGACAGGGTCTCCTTATGTTGCCCAGGCTGGTCTTGAACTTCTGGACGACTTTTGGGCTCTATATAATTTTTACAATAAATGGTTTGTATTTAGTAAAGGAGAATTAATTACAGCTGAGTCTTGAGCAACATGAGATTTAGGGTGCTGATCCCCCCTGCAGCTGAAAATCTGCTTTATATAAAAATCTGTTTGTTTTGACACCTCCAAAACTCTACTAGTAGTCTACTGTTGATCTGGAGCCTTACTGAAAGCATAAACGGTCAATTAACACACAGTTTCTATTTTATATGTACTGTATTACAATAAAGTGAGCTGGAGAAAATGCTACCTAAATGTGACACAATGCATTGTACAATATGAACTGTATGAGGACATCTTTATTATTTATTTATCAAAGGGCTACTGTAAGTCATGTTTTGCAAGTTGCAGGAGACAATGATGGAATACAACTAGTCTGGGTCTTTAAGGTGCTCCCATAATACTGTAGAGCTGTCCCTATTGAATTTGTGCATTTTTTCCAACAGAATTTCCAAAAAAAAAGTTTTTATCCATTTATCCACTTGTCCACTTAACAAATAACTGTCAAGTATCTTTAAGGTACTAAGCATCTTTCTTGTTATTATCTTTTTATTATTATTACTACTACTTTATTTAGTGCTTATTCTGTGACAGAACCCCTTTGTGAGCTTATAATTATCACTTATTATAAACTATGTAGTCATAGCTTAAAATTATCACTTACTATGTTGTTACCACATTCAGCGTGTGTCAGACATTTTATATCCAAGGTGAAGAATTAAAGCTTTGAACAGCTTGGTATTGTCAGCCAGGTGCGGTGGCTCAAGCCTGTAATACCAGCATTTTGGGAGGCTGAAGCAGGTGGATGACGATGTCAGGAGATCAAGACCATCTCAGCTTACACAGTTGAAACCCTGTCTCTGCTAAAAATATGAAAAATTAGCCAGGTGTGGTGGCACACAGTTACTTGGGAGGCTGAGGCAGCAGAATCACTTGAACCTGGGAGGTGGAAGTTGCAGTGAGGTGGAGGTTGCAGTAAGCTGAGATAGACAGCGTCACTGCATTACAGCCTGGGCAGCACAATGAGACTCCATCTCAAAACAATAACAACAGCAACAACAACAAATGGGTAGAATCCAGCCGCAGAAGCTCACTTTTATAATTCTAGCACTTTGGGAGGTCAAGGTGGACAGATTGCTTGTGCTCAGGAGTTTGATACCAGCCTGACTAGTATGGTGAAACCCCATCCCTACTACACACAAAAAATTAGCCAGGCATGGTGGTGCATGCCTGTAATCCCAGCTACTTGGGAGTCTGAGGTAGGAGAATCATTTGAACCCAGGAGGTGGAGGTTGCAAGTGAGGTGAGATGGCGCCACTACACTTCAGCCTGGGTGACAGAGCAAGACTCCCTCTCAAAAAATAAAATTTAAAAAAAGGCGAAAAGTAAAGTTTGGTAGTATTTAAGGAAAGCACACAAAATGAGTAGAAGTTTACCATGTAAGGAATCAGAAGGATATGTAGCAGAAGGAAAATTTAACCAGATGTGTGTTTGGCAGAAGAAACATCTGAAGGAACACCTGACAAGGCTGCACCCTTGGCAGAGAGAATGCCTGATGAGGCTACACCCGTGGTGGAGAGAATGCCTGAGGAGGCTGAACATTTGGCGGGAGAGAAGGTCTGATGAGGCTGGAGGCTTGGCTGAAAGAACGCCTGATGAATCTGCACCCTTGGTGGAGACAACGCCTGAGGAGGCTGAAAGTTTGGGGGAGGAAACCACTGATGAGGCTGCAGGCTTGATGGAAAGAACACCTGATGAGGCCGCGCCCATGATGGAAAAGACGCCTGGGGAGGCTGAACACTTGGCAGACAGAAGGCCTGACGAGGCTGAATGCTGGGAAGAAAGAAGGCCTGATGATTCTGAAAGCATGGAGGAAAGAACTCTTGAGGAGGCAAGGCTGAAAGCCTGGTGGAGGGATCGCCTGACTGCAATTAGCTTAGCTTAATCATTTCTCTTTATGGAGATGGGATGGGGGTAATGGGGATAATGGAATAATAAATGTCTAAATAAATTTGTGTTTCTGCAGCAAGAAAGAATAAATAATGGCTATGCATTGGAAGCCAGCAATGTTCTTTGCAAAGATTCATCAGAAAAGTTTGATCAGTGGAGTCACAAGATTGGTTCTGAGTATCAGGGCATTCTGGTCATGATATAAAGCAGAGATTAGAAATTTTTTTCTGTAAAGGGCCAGATAGAAACTATGTTAGGCCATGTGGTCTCTATTATAGCTATTCAACTCTGTTATTGTAGTGTGAATGACAGCAGTCAAAATGTTGTGGGAACTCAAGCCAAGGGGGACAAGGAGACCACGGAGACGAAAGAGAATTTATTGGTGTACTGACTGATGATGGTGAGGCTAATGCCTATAATGGCTGCCAGCCCTGAACAAACAGAACGTATTGCTTTTATACAATTTGAGGTGGGAAACCAAGGCAGGAAACAGGTTTAGGAAAAAGACAGTTAATCAAGTTTTGCAATCTTGGGGAAACATGCATTTTCTTCATGATTTTCTTGACCTTATAATACTGCAGCTGAGGTAGAAGGGTATAGTTGAGGAAGACACCCAAGGAGACCAGAAAAACAGGAATCGCACAAGTATGTGTGGGCCACGGCATTAAGACATCCTCTGGTGCTCTTATGTAAGTAGGTAGTGGGCAGTGCTAGGTCTGCTTTATCTCTACTTTCTCTAAGAATGGGTTTTATGACTAGCCTGGAATGGGTGCTGTGAGATAAGTTTGCAGCTGCAGTTGGTTGGGCTGAGCTGGGAGGGGTTACTTACTTTTGCTTATTATGATTTTTTTCTTGATAACCTAGTCCTAATGTTAACTACTACTTATTCTACTTCCTCATTCCCCCCTTAAAAGCTCTTTTTAAAGGGATTTCATTACTAGAAGGCTTTTCTCTCTTTTCTTTTTTTGAGACATTACAATTCACATGATGCCAGGATGGAGGGGTCAGTCTGTCACTGAAGTGTTACTGTTCATTTTCCTGATTGCAAAACTAGCTCACCAGTGTACCTTCTCCTGTTGTCATCTGTTTTGGACATACTGATAGTGAACTGGCAAATTCTTTTGGCTCCTGTTGGCCTCTCTGCACTGTGCCTGTCTTAGGTCGTCCCTCGCTCTGGAGACTCTTACTCATTATTGATAACCAGCCTTCCATCTGGGGCCTTACAGGGCATGCAGTATCACTGGGTATCATTGTTGGAGGCCTTTGCTTAGCCCGGAAGACAAGACTGGAGCCAGGTTACTCTTTCGCAAGCTGCTTCATTAGGTTATGACACCTGATGTTTATACTTCACGATTTGGCCCAGAAGTTCTTTACCTGCACATCTGTACTTCATGTGATTCAGGGAGGGAACAAGAGAAGGCAGAGTATGAGGAAGGAAAAATCCCCTCAGAGGAGTCCTACATTGGAACTACAGTTGTCTGCCTTTTTACTGTGTGGGTTCTTTTCCTGTGAGGAAAAAGGCTGTTATTTAGTTAAAATCATTATTTTGGTGGTAGTGTGCCTAGGCACTACTGCCTCTATGGTTGATTGTACACTTCTCAATAAAAGAGGAAAGAGGCAAGGGAGCTTTAGGAAGCTGCCTAATATGAGAATTACACTCCCTATAAGAGTTTTGAAGCCACAAAATGATGAAAACCATTCATCAAAAAGAGAATTTGGAGACCAAGTTTGGACTGGGACATGGGCCATTTTCCAAATTCTCGGTGATCTATCTCCATTATTGCTTGTCCATTGTCATCAAATTCTAAACAATTGGTTAGGTTAAATTTTCCACAAACCTCTCCTTCTGAGGTCAGGAGATAGTCTAGTGCCAGCTTATTCTGATATATTGCATTGCTCATCTGTGGGGCTTGTATGGGTAGCAAATCTAAAGCTCTGTATGTTTCATTGGTTGTAATTTCTAGGACTGCCTGTAACCTAATGATGTGGTTATCACACAGATGGGAGTGTGATATCCACACTTATCCCATCTTGGGCCCAAGTAGCTGGACCATAATAATTATTCTCTCTGGGGGCCAGTCAGTGTTTTTCCAGTCTTCTATTTGTACATCTTTCTTTATGTTTTATTGCTTGCTTGCTCTTATTCTGGACTCATGGTATACAGAGTACCCTAATGTTTTCCCTTGCTCCACTGGAAGCAAAAAAAATGATGGTTTGATGATGCCTAACACACAAGCCCTCATCCATTTTTCTGGCAACTGCCTGTATGCCTGCAGGCCACAAATCCAGTTGTGGCCTCAGGGTGCCCGCCAAGCATTTGAAGCTTCTAGTTGGTACCAAGAATGGTTTAAGGAAGGAAATCTGGAAAATGGGTTAAAACAAGGTGGCTCGGAGCTGCTCTTACCTGGTCTGTTCTCCCTCCATCATTAGGTCTTTCCTGTAGTTTCATTGTAATATTCCTGTCCTAGGCATGCCAGTTCTCCTACTGGATTAGTATAGGTGGCTCCCCAGTGGGCAATACAGTACCTTCCTACAATAGAAGGCTAGCACTGGAGCCTGTGGATGATAACTCCGGAGTATCTGGGGCATAAAGGGTTAAAGCATAATTGTCTTGGGTAACAATTCCTTTGCTTCCCAAGGCCACTGGTCCCCATGTTAGTTCCTCCACATATGTAACATGAGGTGACCCCTAGATTTCCTGCTATACTTTCAGCTAACTGAGCAAATAGATTCCTAGTGGTGGAAGGTGAGTCAGGAATTGGTTAAAATGTTAATTGAATGACTTAAAGACTTGAAACCACTGTTGGGGTTAATGAGCTTAGGTATTTTGACAATATAAAAAAGACACAGTGTCATTTGCCCATTTGAGATACACAAGGCCTATCTTTCTTTTCTCAGCATTTTCTTCATCTACCTTAGTTAAATTATTTTATCCTACTGGTACTTTGATGCCTGTGACCCAAATAGGTGAGTCTGGGTCCAAGACAGTGAATTCTATGAGACTGCAGATTTTCCCTTTATCTCCTATTTCACAGTCATCATAATCTTATCAGTAGATGGCATCACTGATCCAAATCAGGATTGGAGTAAGCTCAGCCTGTTTCATTTGAGGATTATAGGTTTTGCAGCTATACCTTGTGCACACGGTTAGGATTTCTCTAATGGGGGTGTTATAACAAGTTGGAGCTACAACTGTTATTTTAAAGAAGTGTTTTTATTGGCCAGGCGCGGTGGCTCAAGCCTGTAATCCCAGCACTTTGGGAGGCCGAGGCGGGTGGATCATGAGGTCAAGAGATCGAGACCATCCTGGTCAACATGGTGAAACCCCGTCTCTACTAAAAATACAAAAAAATCAGCTGGGCGTGGTGGTGCGTGCCTGTAATCCCAGCTACTCGGGAGGCTGAGGCAGGAGAATTGCCTGAACCCAGGAGGCGGATGTTGCGGTGAGCCGAGATCGCGCCATGGCACTGCAGCCTGTGTAACAAGAGTGAAACTCCGTCTCAAAAAAAAAAAAAAGAAGTGTTTTTGTTACCTGACAGGCATCTAAGTATAAGAACACACTTCCTTGATGAGAAGGGGATACCCAAGTCAGGTTGTAAAGGGTTCCTTCTGCTGACTTTTCATGGGGCTCAAACCAACTCTCAGGAAAAAGTTTGGGATCACAGCACATATAAGGTTGACCATCACCTGGATCACAAATTGAATAGGTAGTTTGATTATAATGCAAGTTCCTGGGGAAGCTCCTGTACACTCATAATGTGCTTGGTATAGTAGGGTCTTAACTTGTGCATTCCCTATCCATGTAGTGTGGGTGCACATAGGAAACCCGTTCTTGACTTCCCCCCCTACTAAATTTGCCATAAGAGCTAACATGGGCAAAATGAAAGGCATAAATTTTATACTAAGACTGGACAAGAAATGTTTTTCCCTGGGAGCAAAACTTGGCAGCAATCACAACATGCTAACGGGATAGTTAATATTACTAAAATAACAACAAGGCTTAAACTTTCACTCCACATATACTTGTCCGGTGGCAATTCCTCAAGCTTCAGCCGTGCATTGACAAGTCAGCTTCTGGTGGTGTGACTAGAGCAGGGCTTAATGATTCCTCAGGGTCAACTGTGTCTGAGACTGAACCAGGCTGGTCCTGGTCCTTGTCAATAACGCATCTCAAAGTTAGCATGGTGGTATGCTCTGGATCTGGCTGACTGGTCCACTTGTCTTGGGCTGCTGGCTTTGACCAGCTGTGATGAATCCAGAAAACAACTTCAGCAACTTTAACAGCAGTGGGGGTGGAAATAAAGCAGCCCTTCCATGTAAGGCCCAATGTGATTGGGTTCCACTTTTAAACACAGTCTCCCGGTTTAAATAAATGGATTGGAGTTATTAAACTTATAGGTATTCTGTCCTGTACCCAGCTTTGTACTTGCTCCATGGCTATACTTAAGGTCTGTTTGTCTCCTTAATGTTATTTCTCCTATTTCCTTAAGATCTCCTTTTACCTGGATTATAAGTTGGTGGGGGGGGTCTCCCAAACAAAAGTTCATAAGATGAATATCCAGTCTGTTTGGTTGGGGTGCATTTCACTCTGAGGACCATGGGCAAGACTCTGATCCCACCATAAGTGTGTTTCCTGATAGAATTTCTTTATCAATTGTTTTAATGTCTGGTTTATTTGCTCTACTTTCCCTGAACTCTGGGGATGGTAGGAAGTATGTAATTTCCAATTTATTTTCAACAGCTGAGAGAGATCTTGAACAACCTCAGCTACAAATGCTGGTCTATTGTTGGATCCTAGAGTCAGAGGCAGCCCAAACCTGGGGATAACATCCTTTAATAAGGCTCTGGTCACTTCTCTGGCCTTTTTAGTTTGAGTGGGGAATGCCTCAACTCACCCAGAGTAAGTACAGATGAATACTAACATATACCAATAGCGTTCTGCTCGAGGCAATTTGGTAACATCTACAAGTGGGTTTTCCCATAAGGTTGCTTCTACTCTGAATTCCTGGGTGTTGAAGTGGCCCTGCCACAGATTGTTTTGCGCACAGGTTAAGCAGTTTTTACTAACAGTATAGGTGATGG